GGCATACCTTAACAACAGCAGGGTTTTAAGCCACCCATGAATAAACATGCGCAACCCCCACTAGCTTTTACAAATCAACCCCAAAATAATTTTAAATTTGGTATACCCAATCAGAATTTCCAAAAACAAAATTTAATTGAAAATACCGATGTTTCTATGCGTACCGCACGTCCGATAAGACAAAATATGCTAAATGACTCTAGGGTTCCCCAAAATCACGAGATATTCTATAATAACGAACCCGAAATACCAGCGAAATATTATAACCATGAGATAAATTACTGTGACGTGAATAACACGTATAATTTAGAAGTGTCCCAATTTGAAGTAGAACTGTATAGTGAAATAGAAGAAGTAAGTCACAACCCTAATATAGTTTCGAATGATACTGAAAATTTTCAGATAGAAGCCCCTCGATCCACCCTCGAAATGATACAAATAAATTGTGATACGACTTTTAAACTCCCGCATATCGAAATCCCGGAAATTCAAGCTCGTTTTATGATAGACACCGGAAGTACGAGATCTTTTATAAGTACATCTAAGGCAGAACAATATTTCTCCGCTTTCAAATTACATGAAACCTTTCGAAGTTATAAGTACGCATGCACGTAGCCAGCATAAGGAAGCTATATGTATCCCGCTCTTTAAAACATTTAAAAGTTTAGAAAATACAAATTCTATGTATATGACGTCGATAGTTGATATGACTGTTTAATAGGTTCGGATCTTTTAAAACAACTTGACGCTTCAATAGATATGAAAAACTAAGTATTGCACAAACTCAACACAAATATACCTATTATATATAACCCCTCATACGAAATTACGTTGGAACCAAGAACGGAAACGCGAGGCAAGATCCCAACGGATACGCACAATGGAAACGCAAAAATATATGATGTCAATTTTGGTCAATGTGTTAGGATGTCAGGTGGTATAGTAAAATGCGTCAATTCATTTACAGACACAGTGTTACAAAATACGTCCAACGATAGGGTTACCATGACGTTCTCTAAGCCCCTAAAAGTAACCAAAGAAATCGAAAGATTACAAAATAAGGACACAATTTTCTATAAGCCCCTAAAAGTAACAAAAAAATTAAAAGATTACAAAATAAGGACACAATATTTATAAGAGGCAGGAATGTTAGTAGAAGTAAGGATAAAGCGCGTTACGAAAAAGCAGAGATCATAGGAGATATAGTTAGAAACACAGTACCAGTTAAGTATCACGATCAAAATACGAGGGCCCCAATTAAGGATATAAAACGTCCTCTAAAGCTTCATTCTGTTCCTGTTTCAAGTCTTCAGGACCCAAGCCCTTCTACTTCAACCGATTGTCCGAAATTCCGGCATACTACCAATAAAGGAGGGACAAGCTCTCATTAGTAACGATAAGTGGTCTTTAGTTAAGATATTAGACTTAAGCTTAATACGTGAGGATCTAGAATTTAATAAGAATCGGTACGATAACCTAAATACACATGTGACACGCTATTTTGGTAAAAAATTAATTAACTCTGAAATAAATAATTTAAAAATTCAAACAGATTATATTCAAAATATAACAATCGAAAAATTAAAGCAACTATTCCCATCAAAAAGGGTTAAGGCGGTATTCTTAATCCTCTCGGGTCTCTTATTAAAATTGTGACAGGTAATTTGGACAATGATGATGCCATAAGGTATGATGCTTTAATAAATGATGTAAAAGTAAATCAAGGTCAGCTAAATAGAAAAATGACAGTTGTCGCCGAAATGATCAAAACCTTTATTAATGTTACAAATAGTACAAAATTCAATTTCATACAGCTGGATAAAACTCTTTGGGAAATGAGAAAACAAATTAATATAACAAATAACTCTCAAACGGAACTTAAAATATCAAACGTATATAACCTGTTTCTACATAACTTTCAAACTATATATGTCAAAATGGATGAAATTGAAACAGCGGTAGCTTTTAGTGAACTAGGAACATTGCATCAGTCTATTATTGACACCGATGAACTCTTGTAAATGTTAAAAACTATTGAACGAAGAAATAATCTTGTATTTCCTGTAAAAGTAGAAAACATTTTAAAATTAGAGCAAAGTATAGATTTAAAAGTATATGCAAAGGAAAATCAAATAACCTTTATTCTAGATACACCCCTAGTTGATACGAATACATACATTTATTACAAAATTCTTCCTTTACCTACAAGTAATTCCATGAACCAATCATCGCTTATTGTACCCAAATACCCCTACCTTCTGATGAAAGGGTTGAAAGCGATGTCACTTCTTCACCCATGTAAAGAAATTGACGACTCACTGTTCCTGTGTGAAGAGGATTATTCATCCATGTTAATTAAGGATAATTGTGTAACCAGCCTAATGAGTTTTGCAGCTAACACCACCTCATGCCGGCCCCTATTAGTAGAGTTTGATGATGTGAAGATAAGGAAAATAGAAACCGATCGATGGATGTTCTATTCAAAAACTACAGTATTATTAACCAAACAATGTGGAAATGAAATATCACACTATAATTTAATTGGGACATACATAATCTCAGCCGACGACAACTGTGAAGCTAAAATTAAGGGATTCAGTCTGAAAAGGCATCATGAAAATATAGAGGAGTACCCGTTAACTCCCTTAAAAATAATAAATCTTCCGGAAACACCACAGTTGTTAATGAAGACATCTTCAAATTCAGCAGCAGTAAACCTGGATGACGTGGACCTGACCAATCTATAGCAGCTAAACCAATTATTAACCAGTGATAGTGTAAAAAGTGAGCAAAGTGAGTGTTCTAAATGTGAAGGACATAAGTATCGGGACATTAATTTTATATGTAATTTTAGTTATAATAATTGTAATCCTATGTAAAAAATATTTGTATCGAAATTATCGGACTCGGAAAACTTCGCCCGGTAATTTCGAATCTGAGGGGGGAAGAGTTATGAATCCCGGTATTCACGGAACTGCACCGGAGACCAAAACAATTCAAGCGTAAGCGTGGGCGTAGATTGCTGAATTGCGTCTGGAAGACGGGTGGTCTTTCCTGTGAATACTGATAACTGTTTTTTAGCTTAAAGATCTAGAATAAGAATTAGGATAGTCTTAGTTTGGCTCGCACATGTATCGCACATGTAGCCTTAGGTTAGAATCCATCGCGGATTAAAGTAGTATATAAGTAATGTATCGCACATTAATAGTTATAAGTTTATTAATAAAGTCTTTTTAAAAACGTCCTGAGTCAATTTCGAATCTTGACTAGGTTCAGTTGGAAACTTGTTAATAAACATTTGATTATCATCTGTTGTTGGTGACTTTGTTTGTTAACAGATATGGGTAGAAAAAAACATCGATATGTATTATAGACAAGGAACTCGACAACACTATTGAATTTTATTGTTTATCAAAACTCAGTAATATATAATATAATATAAACATGTTGGTATATATGATATTAAGATTAGTAACAGATTTGCAGAGATCAAGCTATCTTTTATGAACTATAAGCACTTATATTATCTAATAGTTTTAATTTGTTTAATATTTACTGCAAACTCACTTACTTGTGAAATGTTATTTATATCACTTCCCTTTTGGTAACGAGTTTTACGTTCCCTTTTGGTAACGAGATTACGCACCCTCTCATTATTAATAAAAATAATTCTTATTATGTAACTAATATTATACACAACGAAACAACATAAAATACTGTTGCGTGAATAAGTCAACGTCATACACTAGCGCCATCTAGTGTCAGGAACGAGAGCGAGGGGAGCTTTGCAGAAAATGACATCACAAATCTTTCAACCGACAGCGCCATCAAGTCTTAAACCGAAGAACTAAGTTTCTAGAAAATCTACACTCGAACACTCGTCGCTTTGCGCGCATTTACTTGAATATTCCGGATGCTTCATTGCTAATTTGTATATATAGGCGCTGCAAGATGCGATCGGGGCAGTATTGGATTTGGCGAGACAAGCGAAGCTTCGGAGCGGAATAAAGTGAATTAGTGTGTTTAATTATTAGTGTTTTAAGTTTTAATTTGTGTAAAGTAAATTAAAGTGTTAATTTAGGTAATTTTATCGGCAATTTTTATTGTCACGAACCTCAAGCTCGTAACAATACTTTCGTTTTTTTAGTTTAAAAGTTCAAAATACAGACGTATTAAATATGACATTATGAATAAGACAATATACTTTGGCATATTATGTCAATTTTATTTTTCAAGACTTCCTTTAGCGGCGCTTCAAATTGGCACAGTCATTTTGTGTGGTATAGCCAGTCCAGCGTACTTGTATATATAGAGTTCAGTGGTTTGTGTCTAAACAGTACTCTTATTACGTAGACAGAGAAACCTATAGACAAATTGACGCCTTCTTTCGCATTCGCACACGAAAGAGATAGATTTATGCATACGTCTTGCATAGAAATGAGATAGAGCGGTGTGATTGTTTGTTCTTTTCACCGTGCCGGTTTTTTTTTTGTTTAGCAAACTCTACAGTTTGCTAAACAACTTTGACAGCGTAGCGATTTAAGGAGTTTACAAGTTGGTTTAAGTGAGAAAAAAAAGTGTTTTGTGAGCTTAAGATTGGTGAATCTTGTTCAGTTTATTTCTTAGAACAACTAAAAATTTTATCTAAATGTGTTTAAAAGTCGTAAAGATTATTATATAACCTAAAAATTCGTTATCGTTCTTTCTCACTCGAGGCCACGCCGATCATTAGTCTATAGGTTTCTCTGTCTACGTCTTATTAGTTTGTGTCTATACCTTTGAGCATAGAATATAGATACTCAAAGGTCTATACCGATACCGCCAGTATGTTCTAGTCTATGGAACCCAGTACACTGACGAATGCAAATGACGTCATTAGTTGACGCTATATGGTACTGGGGTGTCGCCGCCGTATTGTGTCAGTATCCCGCCATAGTAGAATAATTTTAAGTGTGTATGAATAATGCTAGAATTTGATTTTATTTATTCAAATACAAAAAATGGCAGAGCTTAAAGAGTTAAATCTGTACGATGAAGAGAATGAGAAATCATACTCATTCTTTGTTACTGAGGAAGAGTGGTCAAGAGCACATTCAGGTAAGTTGTAGAATTATTATACTTACGTACTGACCAGTCCTAACAGTGTATTGACCCAATGAGGGCTACCTACTGTTTTGGTGGTCATCAGTTTGCCAGTAAGGACCTGAATTAGTATAAATACAGTAATCTATGGTCCTGAAATATAGGGTATGTTTCCAGTGTACTGGCGAATGCAAATAATGTCATTAATTGACGCCAAATTCCACCATATTCGATACAACGAATCATCAGTATGGCGTCGATTTATGACGTCATTTGCATTGGTTAGTGAAATGGGTTCTATTTCGGAACATACCCTAAAGCTAAATGTATATAATTCGCAACTCCGAATGTCAAACATGTTAATATTAATGTAAATTTAAATGGGGAGGAGCCGAGTCTTGTTGATGCCACCATTTTTCTTGGAATCACCTAACACTAGACGTAAAACTAATGGGTCCCCCAACTCAAATCAATCAAAACTAGCTAGCAGATTTGTTTCTGCAGCATATGCTGTAAAAAAGTATGGAACTCTTACCAGTGTCAAAACAGCTGGATAGCATAATGTCGTATAGTATTTTGCTATGGGGACATGCGACTAACACTGAAATTATGTTTGTTTTACAGAAGAGGGCCATTAGAGCAATATATATAATTAAAACCAAAAGAGTCGCTCAGACGAAAATTAAGGCAAGGCAATTAAGTCATATTAACTCTGCCCTCACAATACATTTATGAAAATGTAATGTATGCTAAACTGCGAAAATAAGTGATATTCATTCTGTAAATACTAGGAACAGACACAAACTAGTAGTATGTGGTACTATTATTTATTCTGTGCTAGTAATACCAGTAACTTGACTGCACTGACTCCGTAATTCATTCTCTGGGCGATGTATACGCTTTTACAACAAAATTCCAGAAAATATACAAAATTTGACAACTACAACATTTAAAAACTTTATTAAACTAAGTTTGTAAAAAAGGGTTATTATAATATTAAGGAATTTAGGAGCCATGGTAGCTTAGATGGTTAGCACTCGCTGTAAATTCCACAGTACACGAGCAAACCGGGTTCTATCCCCGCCGGCACCAAGGTAATTGTTAATTGCAATTTTAAGTGCTGATTTACCACATGCTCAGCGGTGAAGGAAAATATCATGAGGAAACCTGCATGTCACAGAAATAAGATAAAAAATATATCGAAGACATGTGAAGTTCGCCAACACGCATTGGGGCAGCGTGGCGGACAATTCCTTGCCCTAAAACTCTCTCAGAAATGGGAGCTGTGCAGCAGTGGGACGTATAGGTGTAACTTTATTTGGAATATGGATGATAATAACCCCTGGGAAGGGTGATTGTTACCAAGCTATTTCTAATTTGTTTTGTGTTGTTAATTGTAACATACATGATTGTAGATTGCCTCGTTGGTCTAGTGGTTGTAGTAGTGCGACTGCTGATCATGAGGTCCTGGGTACGAATCCCGGGTCAGGCCAAAAAATCAATTATTGAGTTTTTCTGTCAAGAAATTCTCAGTAGCTGCCTGGAGTCAGGAAGTGCGCGGTTTCTCACACCCGTGCCTCGGAAAACACGTAAAGCCGTTGGTACTGCGCCTGATCTCTCTCCGGTCGTGTCTGTTTATCGTCCCATCAGATTATGAGAGTGAAGTAATAGAGAGTGCACCTGTGCGTGCGCATACACTTGGGCACTATAATCCTGTCCTGTGCTGATGGCTAGCCTCCGTTGAGGCAGGCCGCCGTGACCGAAATTCGGTCTGGAGGACATTATTATTACATAATTGTAAGCTCTTATTTTTAAAAAAAATCCCGCTGGGTTTCTTGCTGGTTCTTCGCAGGACAAAGGTTTTTTTTGCAATCCAGTGGTGAATGAAAAAAAAAAGAATAAGTATTATTTACAATTCTACTACTTCTACCATAGAAGTAGTGTAGAGATTATTGTACTACTTCAAGTTGTAACACTTTCTTGCTATCACAGGTATAATGTATGTATGATAAAAAAACAGTTACTTTTGGAATAATAACAAGTAATAAATATTCTCTTCATCTTCAAAAAAATCACAATACATCCTTTCCATAACCAGTAACTGTGTTTGAATTTGAAAATAATAAGGGCCGTATTCAAAATTCATTAATGCTCCTTTCTATATGCTTATAATTATCTGCACTATTAACAATTACATTAGAACAAGTTAATAATAATTGTGTGTATTCTTCGAATCCACTAGATATGTTCTCTTTAAATACTTGGGTATCAAATATCAATGTTAAAAATGTAATTAAACGGGACTTAAATTATATCAAGGGTGCTTATTTCTATGATGGATCCAAAGATAAATATGGTGTAGGTGCTGCTTATTTCGACTCATTGCTGGGTAATAAATGTAAAATTAAAATTCCTAATAATTTTACAATAATGTCATGTGACATGTTAAAAATAATGTAGGTCCCTAAATTAAAAAAAATTATCTGCACTAATAAACTCATCTTTTATTGAGAAAGGACATTTCACTTCTGATATGGTTAGGTCATGTTTGTATACTGCCCCCATGATACAGGAGTAAATCATGGTGTGGAGGTTATGTTTAAAAAAATATGGACATATCACACCTGGTCAACTGATTGCATTGCCTAATTTGAGATACTATGGGCACATACAATACATAAATACATACGAATACCAAAACACAGAACAAACATCTACGTTAATCACACAAATGTTTATCCTTCGTGAGAATAAAACTCACAACATCAGCGCAGAAGCCATATTTGATGGAATGTATAAAAGTATGAGATGTATGGTAACTCACAGTAATTTTATTGAGAATATATTGGTCCAGGATAGGTAGTTTATAAAGTAATCATGGTCATTAGATATTCCATGCAAGGAAGCCACTTCAGACATACTGTTTATACCAAAGGAAGTTTTCTCTGAAGAGGAATAGTTTATTACACTGTTCCTAACATAATCATCCCATTGTACAGGGCCACAAGTGTTATCAGGACGCAGATCAACACATATTATTTCGTTTTCATTTTGTGACATTATATTGGTGTATCTCAAATGGAAGATCTTTAGCTTTTTTAGGTGATGAACACAGTTTTTTTTTCGGCTCATTCCATTTCTGTTTGTTTTCTGTGGATGTTTTCTTAACACACCATTCAGAATAATCTTTAAATCGTAAAATTGCGTAACATACACAAGCTGTGTGCTTACAAACTGCTTTTGGACTGAACAATTTTTTCATCTGATTCAAAGGCGATACTCAAAAAATATGATATGATAATGCTTTCGTGTTTTCAGAGTGGACCTGTCCTTTATAAAAAGTAAATTATTTTGTGTACATGTCACTAGAGCCACTAAATATTAATTTATCACCCTATATATAGCCTTGTGTGAACTGCAGTATACTCAGTCATTCCTAAGTACACTATATCTAAGTCAGGTGATACACTTTTCGATGTTACACTGCTATACAAATTGTCTGAAGGCCACTCAACAATATACGCCAAATCTTTTTGTAGTATTTTATATCTTCTGTGTTTCTATTAAAATTATTATTTCTATCATAGTCTTGAAGTCTGTAAAAAGATAAAACAAAGCTGTAAATTAGGTACATAAGCATACTTTTGACAAAAAATGTATTTGTAAACAGTAAATAAACTGACCTCTGAATTAGCTGCTCTTTCAACCCACTTAATTTTGCACCTCTTTTTCTTAGCTACGCTTTTAAAGCACGGACACTAATTAACTCGTAACTCGTATTGGCCGTAATTAATCTCAGGAATTGCAAAATATTCACAATATTATTCTAAAAATAAATTAGCCCACCTACTATACTTATTATACTCTTTGCCACCTACTGCCACCTACTTACTGTGACCAGTGTTGCCAACAGCGCTGGCCCTAATGTCGCCGTTTCTCATGTATGAAGTAGCCTAATATCGCCGAATTTCAGTTGTAGTAGCCTAAAGTAGCCCAAACACCAAAATATCAAATGAATAAAATAAAATATAGTTTTTATCAATTTATTTATAATATGTTCATAACACACTGATAAATAGACATAAGCCATCTTTAAAACACGTTAATGAAATTAAAGTTAACATTTTAAAAATTACATAAACAAAAATTAGGATTATTATGATTCGTCCTCTGCTATCAATAATAAGGCATCACCAAGACTTTCGCCGTCTTTAGTAGTAGTTGATGTACTAGTACTGGCGCAAGATCCACCGGAGACATACATTTTTCTACTAGCGTGCAAACTCACCATGTGATTGCTTAGTTGAAAGTTGTTACAACACAAACCTCTTACATTCATATGGGTACGAATCCTAAGAATTGCGATCAGCATGGGTAATTGCATGCGATTCCTTAATTTTGTTTTGATTGTCCCCATTATGCTGAAAATTCTTACAACGACGGCATTACTCAAAGGTAATGAAAGGCATCGTATCGAAAACTCTGCTAGTTCTTTAAACATCAGGCTTCCACCAGCATTCTTCATTTTTAGCACTTGTATCCAAAAATTTACAATGTCATTAGGAGAAGCAGCTGTTCCGATTATCCCCTCAATGCGCATAGTGCTTAATACGCGCCATTGGTTCATAACAGCTTCTTGGTCAATATTGGGATCACCTAACTGCCAAGGAAAATCTTTAATGTTGGGTTTGCCGGTAGAGAGGCATACGCGGCTTGGTGCAAAAAGTTAAATTTTTTCCATCACCGACACATTAAGCGGTAACCTTAGCGGTAGGCTTAGTAAGAGAATTAGTTGACATAATTCTCTTACTAAGCGTACAAGAAAAGCAGAACATCGTTGCTTCACTTCTTTGGCTTTGTCGGCAGAAACAGTCTTTTTTGCAAGTAAATCATTGAACTTTTCTCTAAAGTCGAATGAGTCCAGTGGAAGCAGTGAATTGTCAAATGGCGCTCCGGCTTTTTCTAAAGCTCGCCTAACAGCTGCAATATCTGCTTCATGTAGCATTGATACAGAG